CATTTTTCCCAAATTAATCCACATTTCCATGGATTTCCCCAAATTAATCCACATTTCCATGGATTTCCCCCCATTTTCCCCAAATTAATCCACATTTCCATGGATTTCCCCCAAATTTTCCCAAATTAATCCACATTTCCATGGATTTTTCCTGTTTTTTTTCCTAATTCCACCACATTTCCATGGATTTCTCCCATTTTTCCCTCTAGGTCCATGATTTTCCTCAGGTTGGGAGTTTCCTCAACCTCCTGGAACTAAAACTCAGTTTTAACCCCAAAATTGAACCAATTCACCCAATTTCCTCTCTAATTCCACCATATTTTCCCTGATTTTTTTGTTTCATATCCATGATTTTCTTCACAATCAGGAGTTTCCTCAACCTCCTGGAACTAAAACTCAGTTTTAACCCCAAAATTCAACTGATTCGCCCAGTTTTCTCCATAATTCCACCATATTTTCACTGATTTTTCCTTTAATACCCAGGATGGGCATTTCCTCACCGTCCTGGAACTAAAACTCAGTTTTAACCCCAAAACTGAGCCAATTCACCCAATTTCCTCCCTATTTCCACCATATTTTCCCTTTCAAATCCACAATTTTCCTCACGATCGTGACTTTCCTCAACCTCCTGGAGCTAAACTCAGTTTTAACCCCAAAATTGAACCGATTCACCCAATTTCCTCCCTAATTCCACCATATTTTCACTGATTTTTCCTTTAATACCCAGGTTGGGAATTTCCTCACCCTCCTGGAACTAAAACTCAGTTTTAACCCCAAAACTGAACTCACCCAATTTCCTCTCTATTTCCACCACATTTTCCCTTTCAAATCCACAATTTCCCTCATGATCAGGAGTTTCCTCAACCTCCTGGAACTAAAACTCAGTTTTAACCCAAAAATTGAACCGATTCACCCAATTTCCTCTCTATTTCCACCACATTTTCACCGATTTCCCCCGTTTTTCCGCCCTCCAGCTGCGCTTTTTCCCGACGATGGAACACCTCCCCCTCCTCCTGCTCCTGTCCTGGTTCTCCGTTGTCACCTCCACCRCGTCCCCGCCGTGCCCCAAGCGCTGCCAGTGCCAGAACCTTTCCCCGTCCTTCACCATCCTGTGCACCAAGACGGGGCTGCTGTTCGTGCCGGCGGGCATCGACCGGCGCACGGCCGAGCTGCGCCTGATGGACAATTTCATCACCACGCTGCGGCGCCGCGACTTCGCCAACATGACCCARCTGCTGCACCTGACGCTGTCGCGCAACACCATCAGCCACATCGTGCCCTACGCCTTCGCCGACCTGCGCGGGCTGCACGCGCTGCACCTCGACAGCAACCGCCTGACGGCCATCGCCGAGGAGCATTTTAAAGGTTTGGTCAATCTGCGTCACCTCATCCTCAGCAATAATCAGCTGAGCTTCATCGCGCCGCGCTCGCTGGACGATTTCCTGGAGACCATCGAGGATCTGGACCTGTCCTACAACAACCTGGTGGACGTGCCCTGGGCCACGGTGGCCAAGCTGAGCAACGTCAACACGGTGAGTTTGGATCACAACCTGATCGAGTTCGTGCCCGAGGGGATCTTCTCCAACCTGCACAAGCTGGCGCGGCTGGACATGACGTCCAACAAGCTGAAGAAGATCCCGCCCGACCCGCTCTTCTCGCGCATCCCCGTCTACGCCAAATCCAAGGGGTCCCCTCTGAGCTCTCTGGTGCTGAGTTTCGGGGGGAACCCCCTGCACTGTAACTGCGAGCTGGTGTGGCTGCGGCGCCTGACGCGCGAGGACGACCTGGAGACGTGCGCCTCGCCGCCGGAGCTGATGGGCAAATACTTCTGGAGCATCCGCGAGGAGGAGTTTGTGTGCGAGCCGCCCATGATCACGCACCGCACGCCCAAGCTGAGCGCGCCCGCCGGCCGCGGGGCCTCGCTCAAGTGCAAAGCCGTGGGCGACCCCGAGCCCTACGTGCGCTGGATCGGCCCCGACGGCAAACTGGTGGCCAACACCTCTCGGACCGTGTCCTACCGCAACGGCACCCTGGACATCCTGGCGGCCGCGCCCGGGGATCAGGGMACCTTCACCTGCATCGCCTCCAACGCCGCCGGAGAGTCCACGGCGCCCGTGGAGCTSCGCGTGACGCCCGAGGGCAACGGCACCGACTGCGAGGAGGAGGAGGGCGGCCCCAAAGGCACCGCGGGGCCCGAGCCCTCCGATATCCTCATCTCGGCCAAGTCCAGCTTCTCCAACGAGTCCCGGGCTGACAGAGGGGACCGGCCAGGGGTGGTGGTGGCCGAGGTGACGGCCACCTCGGCGTTGGTGCGGTGGCCACCACAGGAGGGGCTGCAGGGGCTGCGCATGTACCAGCTGCAGTACAACAGCTCCGGGGACGAGGTGCTGGTCTACAGGTG